TCCTGGCCTTACTACTAGGAGCAAGGACGCTACTAGGGGCTCCTGGCCTTACTACTAGGAGCAAGGACGCTACTAGGGCTCCTGGCCTTACTACTAGGAGCAAGGACGCTACTAGGGGCTCCTGGCATCGCTACTAGGAGCAAGGACGCTACTAGGGCTCCTGGCCTTACTACTGGGAGCAAGGACGCTACTAGGGGCTCCTGGCCTTACTACTAGGAGCAAGGACGCTACTAGGGCTCCTGGCCTTACTACTAGGAGCAAGGACGCTACTAGGGGCTCCTGGCATCGCTACTAGGAGCAAGGACGCTACTAGGGCTCCTGGCCTTACTACTGGGAGCAAGGACGCTACTAGGGGCTCCTGGCCTTCCTACTAGTAGCTAGAAGCTACTAGGGGCTCCTGGCACATCAACACTTGGTGAAGGAGACGCTATTCTTGATTCTCTTTCGAGGCGTGTTCATGGCCTTCCTCGGGGGGGTGGGGAAAAAAGTCAAAGCTCGAGGCTCTAAGCGTTGCTGGTATCATTCTTCTGGAAGGCACAACTGTCTTGAAAGTACGGGGTCAGGCTCAGTCTTGCATTCTTGCTACAACAAATAAGGGATTCTAGACTGGCTAGCCCTGGCTGGCTGCTGAGTTTCACGATTCCGCGCCCCCCCAAGGTTCGATTTCTGCCAAAGCCCAAAACAAAATGCCAAGGTGACCCGTGTGAATCTCAACTGAAATCTGTCCTCATCAATGGCCACGTGTGGGTCCGCCTAGTTGGCGCAAACAAAATTGTGGTGGGATACAAGAACTGGCAACGGCGAAACGATTTGCACGGAATATGTTTGTTGAACCACCTTGACGCCTGAATCATCAAGCACATCAAAGCACCCTATTTCTGCCAAAAGGATCCAAAAGGGTTTTAAGTTGCAAAAAAACAGCAAGGTTTCGAAGCTCCTTCGGCTGCCGTGCATGGGGTGACTGTCGTGACCGACTTCGACTCTTCAAACTCTGCATAAAGCACCTAAGGAGAACTCAATGTGATGGCCTCCAACCTGCCTCCACCCTAGTAGCGATGGCACCATACCTATACAAAAAGCCTCCCTGGCACCAGTTCTGACGTCGCGATGTAATTTGGCTGAGTCAAAGGCTCATAGGTTGAGATTGGGGCCCTGCCAGGCATGTTCAAAGTTGGTCCATTTGGCAAGAAAGTGTTTCCTCTTTGAATTCACAAAAAATACAATGTCTTCCCATCTTCCCGATCATAATGTTGATCATGCTGTTGCGATGCGGGCCATCTTGGTGCTCCTTCCGAACTTCCGAACGATGTTTCTCTGGTTTTCTGATGTCGCCTCCGGTGGAGCACTTCCGCCAGAGCATCCGCTGCCTTGTTCGCCAGTGGTGCGGAGTGGCATGGAAGCACGGACGAAAGCACCGAATCGGCCGAAAGTGTCCCTTTCGGATTCAAATATCAAAGGACGCTACTAGTAGCGTCCTTGCTCCTAGTAGCGATGCCCTTTGCTCCTAGTAGCTTCTTGCTCCTAGTAGTAAGGCCAGGAGCCCCTAGTAGCGTCCTTGCTCCTAGTAGCGATGCCCTTTGCTCCTAGTAGCTTCTTGCTCCTAGTAGTAAGGCCAGGAGCCCCTAGCGTCCTTGCTCCTAGTAGCGATGCCCTTTGTTCCTGGTAGCTTCTTTGCTCCTAGTAGTACGGCCAGGAGCGCCTATATAGTAGCTTCTTGAACCGGAAAAAAATACAAAAAAAACTTCTGTCTTTTTTTGAAGTATCAAGACGGCATTCTGCAAAGGATAGTTGGAAAAGTTCACTCTGAAAAAGACGGAAAACTATCCTGTTTAAAAAACAAGAACCACCCATACACAGCATCTCGAACGGCATTGCTGACGCCTCCAAGCTGAACGCCAAACTCCCGGCAGGTCCCCGGAGTCCAACGAGCCCGTCCTGAGAACGGCGCCCGTCTGAGCAGGAGCCCCGTTCGTAGCGTCCTTGCTAGTAAGGCACTTGTTTCTACTAGCAAACATTGTTACTACTAGTAAGGCACTTGTTACTAGAAGCGATGCACTTGTTACTAGAAGCGATGCACTTGTTACTAGTAGCTTCTTGTTACTAGTAAGGCACTTGTTCCTAGTAGCGTGGCACTTGTTCCTAGTAGCGTCCTTGCTCCTAGTAAGGCCAGGAGCAAACAGGACCTAAACCTTAAACCCTGCAACCTAAGAGCGATGGCCTCCAACCTACTAGTGATGGCCTTCATCTCTGGCTCCTGTAAGAAAGGCCAGGCTTGTGGCGGCTGAAGAGCGGCAGCATCCTGAGAAGTGGCAGAGACACTGGACCTTTCGATGTGGAGTCGAAAAGATACAGCAATTTCGACCATAGAACCCCTCCGGTGTTCAGTCCTTGCGATCGTTACAGTCCTCCAGGAGGCAAATCTCCTGGAGTAACGTGATACGGATGAAACAACGAAGTTCACATCTGAGGCATCTGTCCTGGAAGGTTGTGGTACAAGAAAAGGCCTGGCATATAAAACTCAGGATTGTGTGCAAATGCCTCTGCATTGGGCTGCAAATCTATTGCACTTTCTTTCTGTCAACTTTTAATAGGCCAGGATGACATGAGTTGCTTCGTGGCACAACGGCGCCAAAATCACAGAGACCAACAGCTCTTCATCCAACTGGAACTTAGCCGAACAGTGAGGCAAGTGAGACGAGACTTTCCTGGTCGAGTCTTGGAAAGGCGTTCTTGTTGTGTAAGGGCAGTGACTTCCAAGCTGGCCTTTTCATAGCATGGGATAGATATCCGAAAAGAAACACCAGAAAAAAGACCCTTTGGCTCGCAGCTTTTAGGTTGGAGGCCATCGCTAGTAGGTTGGAGCCAAAAAAACCTTTGGCATCCTTTGGCTCTGAGCAAGTGTGCTCTCTTCAAGAGCCCTTTCAAGCCGACGAACCGCAACTTCTCTCAGGGGCACACCATTTTGTAGTACGCCGTCAAAAGCTCATTCAGCCTGAAACACAAAGCAAAAACATCGTCTTAAAGATCTTCGATGCTTTAAGAGAAGGAAACGCAACTGTGCACCACCTTGGAAGCTGTTCTTGAAACTCCAACCTGCAGGTCTTGAACATCTAAACCAGACTGCAACGGTTTTTCAATGTTGTTCATGTCTTTGTCTGTCTCAAACACAGCCAGTTCGCCTGCTGCTGAAAACTGCATCTGAATCCTCACTGTACCTGCGCTATTTTTCGTGTTCAAGTCGGTGAGAAAACCTGGGCCGGTCACAAGAGCAGAGGCTTCTCCAGGTCGGCCTGCACACAGCGTGTATTTGCAACTCTCTGCAAGGGCCCAAGGGCTTCCTTTGTCAGTTTCTGCCCAAGTTTGCTTTGACACTCTTTTTCTGCCGCGGTGACAAGCAAAGGCGCCTGCAAGTGAATCAGTAGACAAGCCTTTGAGTAAACAATCTTTCGTTTGACAAACAACGAACGCCTCTGCTTGAGACTCATTCATGACGGCCCAAACAATCTCGGCAAGAGAGACGCTTTTCCTCCCGAAACGGGTTCATCGTTTTCACTGCTGAGGTGTTGAGCAACTGCCAAATCGAAGCCTCAAAGCCTCGTCTTCTCTGCACCAGCTACATTGCCAATGGTGAACTGCAAAAGTGCCTTACCAGAGCAAAGCCTTATGCTAATGAGCTGATAAGGTCGATATCACCTTGTCTCAACTTTTAAACAATCTAACTCACGAGCTTCCAGTTGGGTTCAGCTGCGATTGCTATGAAGAGCCGTTGGTCGATCCAAAGCTCGCGACAGGCTCCTCACAACGGCATGTGGCCTGTTTGGACCAACGAGCCGTTTTGCTGAATGGCCTAATGGGCCTAAAGTCCGAGAGGTACAAATGTCATTAATTCTAATAGCAAACATTGTTACTACTAGTAAGGCACTTGTTACTAGAAGCGATGCACTTGTTCCTAGTAGCTGATTGTTTCTACAAATGTCATGACCTATGTACAAAATGTGAGAAATGAGACATGTCTTTGTAGCTGGGGCTTTGTGCATGCAACTGTGATGTATCCTTTAAAAGGTGCTCACTTGTTTCAGGTTCACTAGGGTTTCTATGTTCATCATATTCAGCAAACTCGTGCTTAGAAAATTACAATTGTCCTGCAGGCATCAGTTACCATGCGCTCTTTCTCCTGCATCAGTAAGCCAAGACATCAAACGGACAAGTTCAACTGATCCCTCAAGGCGCTTGGTCCTTGCTCGTTGACCCCCAGCTCCAGCCTCATCTGCGGTGACTGCGTGCCGTTGATCAGAGTCAAAACTTTATTGCGCGTGTTTGACAGTTGACCTTCACACTGTCGTACCGTGTCTGGTTCAACATGTTTGACCTCATAACGTTTTTTGACAAAGCGTCGACTGTAACGGTCCCGCGGTCGGCATTCTTTGACCTTGCAATTCAGCTACAATTCACAAATTGTCAAGCTCTCCTTAGGTGCTCGAAAGCTCTCCTTTTTAATGCTTTGATTCAAAGTTTTACTCAAGTGAATTTCGCTGCAAGCTGAGTTATAGGCCATGTTACCCGCGTTCCAAAGCGCAATGTTGGGAGAAAAGTAGTCGTAGCGAAGTCTCAGAACCTCTGCTGGAAGGCAATTTTGATGTCGCAGCTGGAAGCTTTCGAAAGCGTTCTTCTTTTCGATTTTCTTTCCTTCTCTCTCATTTGTCCTCTCCTCTCTCTCTCTCTCTCTCGTCTTTCTTCTTCCCCTCTTGCTTTAGACCTTTAGAAATTTTAGACTCTCAACGTGTCTTTGTCCTTCTTCCTTCTTCCTGTCTATTTCTAAGTGGTCAGAAGCTCTCATGTGAGGCCCCAACGCACCCGCTCTTGTGACATGCTGGATTCCGCCTTCATGTGCCGGTTTTGCAAATAGAAAACACACCACTCACTCAGTGAGCCGGTCAGCATTGCATGGCGTTCCTCAAGTGCTCCCAGCTCACTCGATCAACGATCCGTGGACCGGTGCATTGCACTGGGTCTTCTCCGCCTCAGATCGAGTGTACCGGGAGTTAAGTTTCCATTAAACATCTAGGAACCAAATGAATGGTGCGAGGGCTTAGTCTTCCTCTATAGCTTCCTATAGGTCCTAGAGGTTTATCTAGGTCTACCTACTTTACCTTACAAAAAAAGGCTCTTCTTGCATTCAGCATGGGCCCTCTGAGCCCCATGCACCAAGATCTGCTGAAGATCTCTTGAAGAACTTCCTACACGTCTTTCGGATAACAAAGACAGACGACAGTCTGACAGATCGATCTCTCCTCCCAGAAAGGATGTCCAGCTGCTCCTATCATCACGGCATTGCTGACCTGGTCACAGTCTGCCCTTTACGCATTCAGAGCTGCCCTGGTTGCAGGTGAGATGCCAATGGTTCTGCCTTGTGCTCCTGGAGAGCGGTGTTGACAAGAATCAGCACCAATGAGTGCGACAAGTCAGAAGCTCAGAGCTTAGAAGCAGTAGTAAAATGCATCAAGCTCGCAACTTAGTCGATCCAATTGGTGCAAGGTGTCTTGCTGCGTCGCACAAAAAGGATACGATATCAGCATTGGTCCCAAGCAGTTTCAGCGCGATGTTGTGCATTTGTGCCTTGAATTGACATGTTGGTGGAAACGTCTGTAGTTGTATAACTTAACTGTATTACTGTAGCCTGTAGCTGTTTGGGAACACGCCGAGAAAACAGTGCCTAGGGCCCTTTCTGTTCCAAAGAGAGAACCGCAGTAAACTGCCTTCTCAAGCCCAACGACAGGCCCATGGCCTAACCGAGGTGAGACACCATCCGAAGGAACTACATCGAACGAGGCAATTGGCACGCATGTCAGGGTATTTCTTCGAAAACCCAGGTGTCAACACAAGAAGCCCCTAGTAGCGTCCTTGCTACTAGTAGTAAGGCCAGGAGCCCCTAGTAGCGTCCTCGCTACTAGTAGTAAGGCCAGGAGCCCCTAGTAGCGTCCTTGACACTAGTAGTAAGGCCAGGAGCCCCTAGTAGCGTCCTTGCTACTAGT